TTTGGGGAAAAGAGGATGGGGACGTTTGGGCTTTGGACACAAGAATCCTGCGTTTGTTCCTACGCTAAACCCTAATTTGGATAACGTTTGTTGTATTGCTTTGGGCGGTATCCATTCTGTCGCCCTCACTTCCTTAGGCCAGGTCTTTTCATTGTTAGTACTTCTAATAGCGCCCTTTTTATGAACTTGAATTGTAAAATAATTTTTTTTAACTCCATATAAAGTTCTGATTTTTTTACTCTACGAAGAAATCCATTGGAAGTTCTGATGTTTATGCAAGTAATGCTTGACACTAGGACATTGCATGTATTGTTATTGACGAGTTGCAAGTATCTATTTCACTATATTGACCTGACTAGGAAGTCGGTATACATAACTTGATAGTGTTGTGTCATTAAAATTGAAGCTTGCAGGGGTTATGGTGGTTTTGGTGCACTGGGACATTCTGTTTATCACAGAGCTGCTTCCTAGATTAGTTGAAGGCGCTTGGAATGGGGAAACAAAGCATATTGCCACTAGTGGCACACATACTGCTGCTGTTACTGAATCAGGTTAGTTAATCTTTTCTTGTTCATGTACTGAAAATAAGTATTCTAATTTTCTATGCGAACCTTAGGAATTAGGATATAGTTCCACACAAACTCAAAGTTTACCTGTTAGGCAAGAAATGGCCATGGCTTTTATAGTGGCAATTTGGCAATGCTTCTCTCTGTTGATTTCAGCAATCATTTGGATGTAGGGGAACTTTATACATGGGGATGAGATGAAGGTGATGGTAGGTTGGGCCTTGGCCCTGGGCGGGCCCAAATGAAGGTGGTGGACTTAGCATCCCTTCCAAAGTCAAAGCATTGCCTGTTCCTGTTGCTACTGTTTCCTGTGGTGGTATCTGTACAATGGCACTGACGGAAGATGGGCAGATTTGGAATTGGGGAGGTAAGGATATTACTTCCTTTTGCGTGAACTTTATGTTCTTTTTCCTTTTCTGTATTGCAATATAGATTCAAGTATTTGATTTAATTTTGAAGAAAATATCAGGCACTAACTGTTGATTCAAATTCTTGCAAAAATAAAAAAGGTTAGTGTAGATTGAATTTCCAATTGATTGGATCATTTTTTCTCCATGGTGAAATAATATCATGTCCTTACAGTCATCTTGTTTTCTGTAAATAGCATAGCTATCTTATTGTGGAGAATGTTTTTTCCTTTTTCCAATTGCTTCCAATAACTTTGGGGAAGGGTGGAAAGATGATGGGCAAGGATAAGAAACTTCCCACCTTACAAGTCAATTGCTGACTTTCAAAATCACAACTTATTTGCTGTAAATTGTATATATGTTTTTTATGTGGGTTGCAACGTTTCTTATTAAGTCATTTTCTTCTTCCTCTTCCTTTTCTTTCTTTTTGTCTCTATATTTTGAAATGTTGCTTTCTTGATTATGAATTATGCCTTAGATTCTTGATCTTGACTCTTGTCAATGGATCAAATATTATCCTAGGCATTATTTGCTTCAGTGAGTGATTTTTTTGTGGCAAATGCCCTGTTCTTAATGTGCACTTCACTTCAAAATATATAGTTTTTTTTTTTGGGGGGGGGGGGGGGGGCTGTTCTTAATGTGCAACTTCACTTCAAAATATAATAGTTTTTTTTTTGGGGGGGGGGGGGGGGGGGGGGGGGGCGCGGGGTGGAAGGGGGGGGGCGCGGGGTGGAAGGGGGGTGCGCAAAAATAAAATTCTTGGGCTTGCAACCGTAAGGGCATAAGTTTAAGCCCCTTGAGAGTAGCTAATTTATGTCAATGTGTGTATATGTCAATGTGTATATGCACTTCTTCGAGGTCTTTCATTTTTTAGGTACAATTTAAATTTTTGGATTTAGTTAGTAGAAAAGCAATCATTCATTTTTAAAAAAAAGGAAGGAAATGCATTACTTATAGATAAACAACATGCTGCTGTGAGGATTTTTTTTTTTTTTTTTATCTAAATCGAGGCAGAAAATTTTTAAGATCTAATATATGAATAATGAATGTTAACTGCCGCGATCTGTTGATGCTTTGCTACTTTCAGAGCTGGAATAAATTTGTATTTGCTTCACATTTTTTATGATACTGAATAAATAAGTCTAATTATAGCATTTTTATCTTTTTGCTCAGCAAATTCAAACTATGAGCTTGGAAGAGGCGACAAGGTTGGTGGTTGGAAACCAAAACCGATTCCTAGTCTTGAAGGGGTTCGTATCATTCAGATAGCAACTGATGGATATCATTCTCTTGCTTTAACTAGTAAATGACTGCAAAATCTCATTAGTAAAGCAAGAAGTCCAAAATTTTTCGTCTACTTCTTTTCTTCTCAATTTGACTTTTATTCTTTCTGCTCCCTTTTGATTGTCTAGCATAATTTAATACTTTTGTGATTCCTTCTTGCTCATTATATCAGATTAGGGGAAAGTTCTTTCATGGGGCTTTGGTGGACATGGCCAGCTGGGCCACCCTTCAATTGAAAACCAGAAAACACCAACAGTAATTGATTCTTTAGCTGATCAACGTTTTGTTTATATTGCTTGTGGAGGTTCATCTTCAGCAGCTGTAATTGGTAAGATTCATGTGATCTAAGTAGCCTTTTCCCTTTACTTCTAACATATTCTATTAGTTGATATTATCTTACCGTATGGTGAAAATTTGAAGTACTGTGCTTTCATTTATCTTCATCAGACATAGATTGGTCAGACTGAAATTTTACATCTTAAGATTTAGTTGTGTTGAAGTCGGTTGCTAGTTGCAGAATTGGGACAAGTTTAAGGAATTGCACTCGCTTTGCGTTGAAGTTCCTGAAGCAGAATTTTTATTTTATTTTATTTTGATGTCGTTATAAACTGCTGTTTTTTATTTTGAGCAGAAAAAGGGAAGTTGTATATGTGGGGAAATGCCAGAGACTCTCAATTAGGTGTTCCTGGTCTGGCAGAAGTTGTATATGTCCTGTTCAGGTCAAGTTTCTAATGGAGGATGATGGCTTGGGACCCCATAACGTGTTGTCTGTCGCTGTTGGTGCATCTCATGCAATGTGTTTGGTTTCGAGATGAAGATGCTAAAAATAAAATCAATCTTATGTCTGTTAAGGATGCAGATTCTGCAAGGCTACAGAGGTTGAATCTTTTGCGGTAGATCTTTAAGGTTGATGCATTGTAATCATTAATGACCTGAGTCAAGAATGATTAGCAAATGAGAATTTTGCATAGACATCGGAGCTTCTTGTGGTTTTATCTCCTTAATGTGTCATTTACCGCAACTCTATTCCATCTCGTAAGTTTGTATTGTCTGTGTTTCTTACAGGCATAGTTTTTCTGTCAGGCAAAAGCAGAGTTCATGTTTCGAGTTTCAACTAACCACAGGTAGAGAACTTGAGTTTCTTACTTTTATGAATTGGAAGAGAGAATTGATGTAGAAACCTTTGAAGTGATGAAATTTGATTGTTGCATTTCTTTCTGTAATTTCATCAGCAAAGATAAAGAAATGGCTACAATGTAAATTTATATGATGTGATCGACTCTAATATCAAACTTTTACACATGCATTCATTTTAAAAAGGAAATTGTTAAAGCAAACCAAAAGACATGAAATGGGAAAGTTAAAAGAACAAACACAAAGGTGAAACCTTTGCCCTCCTTTTACCTTTAAAGTTAAGATAAAAACAAAAGTATCTGACTTTTTAAACATAAGTATCTAATAGTGAATTTAAGCAAATGCAGAAGGATCTAATAGCGAGTTAAGCAAATGTTAAGAACTTTAGAGTAATTTCTTAAAAATAAAGGGACAAATGTTAAGTAGGATCTAACTTTAGCTACCTAACAATTGTTTTTTCTCTATCTGAAAAGTTATGTGAACCAACCAAAACAAAATTAATCAAAAAAGGGAGTGGATATACCTCATGAGAAATCAAAATAAATAAATAAATAAATAACCCATATGATACTAATTATATATATCAAAAAAGGGAGTGGGATATACCTCATGAGAAATCAAAATAAATAATAAATAATAACCCATGAGTGATACTAATTATCATATATATATACTATATAACTATATATCCATTTATTGATAATGATGCCACAAAAAAAATTCTCTACATTCATTTTGCCAATTATTATTTAAAATAAAACATGAATAAATAATATAAAGTCCAGCGAGGGCCATGCACATGTAAATGCTTTCCCGAACATATGTTGAATACAGACAAATAAAATAAAGCATTCATTGTTCTAGAGGGAAATATCAGATACAAAGTTGGGGCGTAAATAAATTATAAACGCGAAGATAGAGAGAAATGAATCAACAGTCTGAATTTTTCTTGTGTTTTTTTTTTTTTTTTTTTTCACCAATTCAAACTCTAAAATCAAAATGACTACGTAAATACCTCAGCATGACTCTCTTCCGCCGCGAACGTAATGTCATATCAGCTGGTAAAGCATAAAAAACCGAAAATTCATAATTGTAATGTCACTGCTTACATCAGGTGCGAACCGACAGTTAAGACATGGAAAAGTTGACCATATAGATGCAGATTTTACTATATGTTCAGTCTTCAGACACTAAAAAGACAACACAGATTCTGATAAATTCTATAGAATCTAAAATCTGTTGAAAAGAAAGAGATTCTATTGAAATGATGAAAATGAAAAGTTATACTTCATACAACAATGATGGACAATGGACATACAGAGCAGTATATTCTTCCCCTCCTATCTAGCCGGTTGAATTATACACCTCATTACAGTTCAAGAACAGCAGATACAAATGGAGTAAAATTGAACCAATTATATAAAAAAAAAAAAAAAAAAAAAAAAAAAAAAAAAAAAAAAAAAAAAAAAAAAAAAAGTAAATCTACAATTTGAGGAGAAAGAGTAAAGAGCAAAAAAAAAAAAAAAAAAAAAAAAAAAAAAAAAAAAGTAAATCTACAATTGAGGAGAAAGAGTAAGAGCTATGTTTTACAAACCGAGTCCCCTTTTTGATGTTTTCTTTTCTGTTGCACTGAGATCTCTCTCCTTTACAACTGCTAAAACCCTGTAAGATACCGAGAAAAGAAAAACAAAACAAAACAAAAGCACATGAGTATGTCGCAGTGTGACCCCAAAATCTGGCTCAGTAATAGCTGCCATTTATTTCAATTATGCTGACAACCCACCCCCTCTCTGCCCTTCTTTCTTTTATAAGCCAGCCTAACCATTATCTAGAGATACATACTGACAAAGACAGCTGACCACAATGATTTGAAAAGACCTGCCTTAGTTTTTGTGCAGTAACAGAATTACATGATTTGAACTGTTAATAAGTTGGAAAGGATGAAGTGTATCACCAACTTACCAACGTAAAAGTCGTGTTACGTATCGTTTTACAATTCTTGCAACTCAAGCTTTCACATAGTCCATGCTATTGCGCTTCCTTTTGTTAGACTTTGAAGAAAAGAAGCAGATCTGCGCCCAGCTCTTTTTCTGCTTTGTAGGCTGTGTTTTAACATTCCTCTTCTCAAAAAGTTCGGCCATGTACTGAACAACTGCCTGAGGAAACCAAGAATGGAAAAATGAATTAGAACTGAGGTAAAACAAATAATATTCTACTTCAAAACTTAAAAGTTGAATGATTCTTTACCTGGGCACCTTTTTCAGCTATATGTCTTGGTGGCACTTCTAAAGGATTTTCTTCTGCACGTAGGACACGTAGACGTGTGAGCATCCTGAAAGAGTCTGGAAGGACTCGTATCTGGTTATTGCTAATGTCCAACTCTTCCAGATTCTCAAGGTTCCCAATAGACCTTGGTAGATATTGTAGATCAGCAAAATTGTTTCCTACATTCATCTTCACAAGCGAGGTAGCGAAACACAAGCTCTCAGGCACTGACTCAAGCTCATTGAAACTCACATCGAGCTCCTTCAGGTTTAATAGAGATGACATAGTTGTAGGTAATTGTTTGATGTTATTATAACGGACAGACAGAAACTCTAGGGTTTCTATCTTTCCTACAGCTTCTGGGAGCGCCTTAAGCCTGTTATAATCTGCACGAATCTCCGTTAGTGAAGAACAGCGACCAATGGTGTGTGGAATTTCTTCAATGTCATTCGTCTCCACGTTTAATTTCTTCAGGCTAATGAGTGAACCAATAGATTCTGGAAGTGAAGATAGACGATTTGAGCTCAAATCAAGTTCCTGAAGGCGTACCAATCTGCTAAATGTAGCAGGCAGAGATGATAACTGGTTAGCCCTGAGGTCCAAAAAGACTAGGCTAAGAAGATCTCCAATAGATTCTGGGAGTTCAGAAATCCTGTTGGAATGCAAATCCAACTTTGTCAAAGAAGAAAGTCCTCCAATAGTGGCTGGCAGGGCGACAATCCTGTTCTCTGACAAGTCCAAGGAAACCAAGTTTGACAACTTGCCAATTGAGTCAGGTAGCCATTCAATCTGATCCATCAACTTGTTTTGGAGATTGAGATCTCGAGTGCCTTTCTTGGCAGAGACTTCAATTAAACTAGCAAGCTTTATTAGACTCAACTTATCACCATCTTGACCTGCAAAAGTTATACAGCAAGGAATGAAAATCAGAAACTACAGCAGTCATCATTAATATTAGGCCGACCGTGCAGAGTAACTAAATTGCCAATAATTCAGAAGAATCCCCAGAATGGTCGTAAAGCAAGCATTTTGAACTACAATAAAAAGAATCAAACAGAACGGAAATAAATAAAGAAACTGAAAAGAATCAAACTCACTTGAATTAGTTGCAGTAGTCTTTAGAGTGGAATCCACTATCTGAGGCTTAGTTCCTCCACTAATTCCATCAGAGTAAAATGACGACTTAGCTTTCTTCACATAGCTATCATCTCTGGTAAACAATTCTGTCGTCCTCATAGGATTTTGCTCAGAATAGTACACGTTCGGCGATGCAGTAATAGATGATTTACCAATAGAAGAAGCCGCCAAACTAGATGTAGAGAAACCACTACTGGAAACTGTGGAAGCAGAGCCATTAGCATAAGTAGACGAAATAGAAGGAGAAGAAGCAGAAGAAGGAGGCAAGCATTTGGAAGCTCTCTGGATATATTCATCGAATAGAGCGTGAATATTTTCGAGATCGAGCAATTTCAAGGCCTCCCTCTTCTGCTCTCTGCTTTGGAAGTAAACCGAATTCTTCTGCATCTCTTGCAAGATAATAAATAGCTCTTCTGGTACATCAGGGCTTTTGGTTTGCCTAGAAATGGCTTCGAGTCTGGACTGGTCTTCTTTGTCCACGTTTAGAATCAATGCCTTAGCGGCCTCCACCTCGTCCAGTCCTGGTCTCGGCGGCAACGATCTGTGAATTCTCATGATCTCCTCGACGGCCTGATCGACGGATCTTATAGACGACGTCGTATCCATTTTCCTTTTTCTGTACTGGAATTCCTAAACCAAAAAAAGTCATCGAAAAGCAGTTCTTTGAGACGAAAACAGTAGAAAATACAAATACAATTGAATGAAAATTCAGATTGAGATCACACAGTAAGAATCTGCTTCTACAAGTTTCTAGAAGCACACTTATAAAGAAGAAGAAGATCCAACGTATCTCTGAAAAGGAAGCAATTACAGCAAGTACCATAAGAGTGAACAAGAAATCGAAATGAACGAACCTGAATATGGAAGAGGTATTGAATTGAGTTCTGAGAGAGAAAAAAAAAAAAAAAAAACTAAATGGAAGAGGTATTGAAATTGAGTTCTGAAAAAAAAAAAAAAAAAAAGGAGAAAAGAGGATAAGGGGAACTGGTTTTTGTTTAGATTAAGTAGTAATTAAGTGAAGAGTGGTAGAACGTAGGAGGTTCGCCTGAAATCCAGAGTCTCCTGCTTCTTCGTCTTCTCTGAAATACAGCTATTCCCATGCTAAGCTTCTTCTTCTTCTTCTTCTCCTTCTTCTTTCTCTTCGTCTTGTTTGGCGGATTCTTATTTTTATAATTTTCCTTTTCAAAGAATGGATTTAGAAATTGAAAGAAAAACCGTGAAACCGATTATGACTGATCGGTTATCAACAGAAAAAACTCTACTCACCCTCCTCTTTTGTCTTATTGACTTTTTTCCCACTTTCACCCCCCCCCCCCCCAACTTTCAACCCCCCCCACCCCCCCAATTGAAATGGGATTAGGAGCAACACCCGGCTTTTTGCTTAATTTCCAATTGATAAACACTCATGAAACAGGACTAATTACAAGCGATGAGAAAGGCGTTTTTGCTGAAAATCATCAAGTACGGGAAAGTATTATGTTTTAGGATTTCTGTCCCATGTTATCAATTGTTATCTGACAGAACAATCTCAACTCATAATTTAATCCCCCCCCCCCCCCCCCCCAATTGAAATGGATAGGAGCAAACCCGGTTTTTGCTATTTCCAATTTAACACTCATGAAGGACTAATTACAAGCGATGAGAAAAGGCGTTTTTGTGAAATCATCAAGTAGTGGGAGTATTATTTTCAGGATTTTGTATGTTATCATTGTTATCTGGACAGACAATCTCAACTCATAATTTAATACTTGAAAATGAGAAAAGCCTAGGCTATAAAACTTGCTATTTTTGAATAAATTTTATTTTAACAATATTAAAATAATATTCAAAAATATATGGAACTACAGCACTAAAATTTACTATCAACATGGCAGGTACAAGTCAGTTATTCTGGTTTCTAATCAAAAATCAAACCTTGGCCATCGATTTGAAAATATAAAAAGTTTTGATTTTCGATTTTCGGTTTGGTTCATCTCATCTATCCTCCTGGCTTCAAACCATGTTTGAATAGAAAAAGTACAATCGTATTAATATATCTTGAATGATCCACATTTTAGAATTAATTAGTGTAATTAGTGTTCGGCTTAGTCATTTCAAATTGTAGGTCTATTTTTAGAAGTAGATCTAATATAAAAGTTAGATGGATTCGAAAACAAGCAATAAAGATGCTCATTTCCTTATTAGAGTATCCGCATATATGCTTGTATTTAAAATTGGGATTCTATTCCTGATTACTTGTTAATGAAACGAGGTATTTTATGCTAAAAAAAAAAGTTATGAAAGGTAAAATTTTTAAATTGGTTTGCACAATACATGATCAAGTTGATTTCGAAGAAATAGATTTTAGAAGTACTATAATTAAAATAGAATTTCATAATTATAATTATAATTTCAAATATATCATCATAAAAATGAAAATTTTGACTTGAACTAAACAATATAAAATATCAATTTCAGTTTTAGTCATCTCGACCAGCCATAACACATAATTTAATGTCTAGGTTAAAAAAATCATGAGAAACTCTGAATTTTAAAATTAACATTATGACATATATATTTCATTTTTATAATAATTTCACATCTCGTCATACTCGTAACAGTAAATTTTAAATTTTTTAATTTTATATGTAAAATATTAATTTGATGTATGACTAATATAATTTTTAAAATAATAATTTTCAAATTTTAAATAATTTAATAAGTGTTTAATCGATTAAATTTTATAAATTAAAATATTGTTTAATATATAAAATTTTATAAATTAAAGCATTTAATAAATTAAAATAAAAATATAAATTATAATATAAATTTTTTCTGAAAAAATTACAGGAATCGATTTGTGAATTAAAGGCGTGAGAAAATTTATTTAGGATGTACGAGGTGATTCGAGAACATTCCACCATGAGAGGAAATGCAGCATTGTGACGTATAGAGCGTGATATTTGGTGGAGGGAAGATAATAAGCGAACGCAGCAAGTAATAGATGGTGGCGGCCGCAAGGGCTAAAGGAAGGAGATAAGGAAGGAACTGTAGATATTGCAAAATGTGAAAGGAGAAAAGTCAGGGGCGAAAAGGTAAAAGTGAGGTGAGAGCGTCATTTTCTAGCAACAGAAGGGAAAGGGAGTTGAGTTGGGGTGTGGGCTGCAGTAAATGCAGTGTCCAGATGTCAACCAAGGAGATAGTGGACACGTGTTCTGTTTTTTATTTATTTATAAAATATAATAAAGAAAAATACTTACCATTTGATTGTCCAATCCAACTGTATCCAGCTGGCATTGCTTCTCACGCCATAACCGTTTTCACTTCAAAACTTTTTTGTCATTTCATAATTTTTATTATACTGTTATTAGAATTCAATTTATCAGATTTTATTCTTAGAAATTAGAATTACTAAAATATTTAGTTAATTATTATTTAACGTAACACTGTGGACTCAATCTTGAGACCACTGACCTCGGATGAGCAAACTTGAAAAAAAAATCAAAAATCAAACCGAATCAAATAATTTTTAATTTGTAATTCGCGTTTTCAGTTTTTGATTTTAATTTCAGTTTGAAAATTTCCATGTTTTCCTCTTTTGGTCTTCCAAATTCATTATTTCAAAATATTTTTTTTCTGAGTAAAATTGAACTGTTTGACTAAATCGATTAGTTTTGTTTGGTTTCTAAATTTATTTCGGTTTAGTTCGATTTCAAATAATATTTATTTAAAGTTTTTGCAATTCGGTTCGGAACTGAACAGCCTGTTTGCACACCTCTATCCCCACCCTCTCATAAAAGTAAAAAGATCAGATCACACTTAATTAGTATTTTATATTTATTTTTTTCATATCCTAAATGTAATATCCTCATTTGTAATATCTTCAATGCTATTAATATTGAAGATATGAACATAAAAGGATAATATATCAACCAAGATGTGGAAATTCAATAGTAATTCATATTAAATATGATTCACACTGAATCAACTTTCAAGTATTTACAAATTTAATTTTTCAAAAAAAGAAAAAAAATACAGGCAAATTGAATTGTAATTTGAATATTTTAGTTTAACAAATCCATTTATGCTTTAGTAAATACTTACATTAAATCTATTTTCTTATTTGTTAAATCAATTTTAAATCTAAGAAAATTTAATTCAATTTATCACCTCGTTCTATATTGTCCTTAATTTTGCTTTTAAGTAAAACATATTAAAGGATTAAATATTTATTTTCAAAAGTAAAAAGGGGTAAAGTTAAGAAAATACACTATTTTAAGGGATACAATTAAATATTTTCAGAAATTTAGAGGGTAAATTTAAAAAAAAAAATTAAGAAAATACCCTTAACCCCTCGATTTGTGAATACGTTTATAAATGAATTCTACGACTATAAATCATTTTAAATATAGTGTAAATCCATGCCTTTTTTATCATATTTTTTTCCTTAAATTCTTTGCCAAATATTGAATTATTTTGATAAATTTGTTTATGAATTCACGTTATTTGAGTCATAAGCCAGGAGTGAGGAGTCACATGCTGTGCTTAATACCGGTCCCTCACCATCTGCTGCTTCTTTATATTTGGTGATGGCGACTCCTACATCGAGACTCTTGAGCTCAGGATGCTTCCTTCCCCTTCTATCTTCTGCCATTCAAATATGTCTAACCTCTCTTTTCTTTACTTCTATATTTGCTTTTTTTATTTATTTATTAGGAGGCTCAATAAACCGAAATGCCATAATGGATTTCATAATAACAATAACCTATCACTTGACTCATCAAATGGATGAAAACTTTTGTGATCGAAAATATTCAAACTCGAGACCTCTCACTCCTCATATTGATAAGAAAATCAATCAGACCACACATGATTGATTAGTTTTGACTTAATTAATTAGCAAGTGGGGTTAAGTTTTTTCCACTTAATTTTTTCTAATTAAGTTTGGATATATTGAGGAGTCCACTAACTCGGATTAATTTTATCTCGATAAGTTAGTTTTTTCTTGACTTTATTAATATTAATTAAATAAATTAATTTTGCAAATAAAAGACAAACTAATTAACACTCTCCGGAATCCGGATACATATATAGGTAAGTCTGTTAGAGTGAATGGTGAAGTGGCTAACTGAAATACTGAATAACTTGAAATAAGCTGTTGGTGTTAGATTTACAGTGTTGCGTTGGTTGGGGCCCAAAGGAAGGAGCATTTCACACCCATTGGCTCATATTTTGTCTGTAGATGCCTTGGCATGGCAGCAAGGCAAGGGCATGACCCTGTTCTTCTTCTTTCATATATCATACATACATGTCCCTTTCTCTCACTAAAAGAAAATCATGTGTTCTCAAGAGCTTTTCATAGCTGGAGCCTGAAGGCCATTCATCAATACTCTTTCAAGGATTTCCCACACGAACAAAATTTAATCTTTTTGCCCTCAAGCAAGTATAATAGCTTGACCAATGGCCACCCAACTCAAGAAAATTAGGAATTTATCAAATTCTGGATATTTCCTTTGTTAAAGGGAAGTACACTGATCAGTTCCTGATTGCACCTAACCTATATCAGCTTCTCTAAAATATATATAACTTCCTGACGACTATGAAGTCCGATTTGTTCATAATATGTAGTGTATAATCCATGCCTATTTCATCATATTTGTTTCCTGTAAATTCTTTTGTCGCAAATATATATATTTGATAAATTGTTTATGAATTCACGTTATTTGATTCATAACGCCAGAGAGGAGGAGTTCACATGCTGTGCTTACATACGCCGTCCAGGTCTCACCATTTTGTTTGCTTTTTTATATTGGTGATCGGCGACTCCGTACACGAGTGATCTTCTTAGCTAGCGGATGCTTCACGTTCCCCTTCATCTGTTCTGCCATTCAAATATTATGTCTAACCGCCTCTTTTCTTTACCTTCTATTACTTTGCTGCCGTTTTTTATATTTATTTATTAGGGAGGCTCAATAAACCCGGAGTAGATTCCATAATGGTATGTCATCAAATTCTCAATCAAGGTAACCTTTTATCACTGTGACTCATTTCAGAATGGATGCAAAGACGTTTTGTGATCGAGAAATAATTCAACTCAGACGCTGCGTCTCCAGTCTCCGTCATAGTGATAAGAAAGATGCAATCTTAGGACCCAGCAAAATAAGAAACATGGAGTTGATGGAGTTTTGTACCTAATAATATAGCAGAGGGTGTGACGTTAAGTTTTGGCCTACTGAAGTTGTTTCTAATTAAGTTTGGATATATGAGGAGCCTCACTAACTTCGATTAATTTTATCTCGATAAGGTTAGGGTGTTTTTCTTGACTTTATTTTAATTATTATTATTCAAATGAGAATTTAATCTTTGCACAGATAAACAGGACAGAACTAATTAACCGTCTCGAATACGGATACATCATATATAGGTAAGTGCTGTTAGAGTGGAATGGTGACAGTGGCTAAACCTGAATACTCGAATACCTTGAAAATTAGATGCTGTTGGTGTTTAGATTTACGAGTGGTTGGCGTGTTGGGTCCAAAGCAAGGGAGCATTTTCCAGCCATCCTCAGTCCTCAATATGTTGTGGCGGCTAGATCGCCAGATTTGGCAAGATAGGCATGACCCTGATTGCTTCGTTTTCAGTGAGTTATCATTTACACTACAGGCTTCCCTTTTCTACTCGACTAAAAGAAAGATCATGTGTTCTCAAGAGCGTTTTCATACTGAGCCTGAAGGCCATTTCATCCAAGTCCACTCTTGCAAGGATTTCCCAAAATTGTTAATCTTTTTGCCCTCAAGGCAAAGATATAGCTTGAAACCGAATGGGCCATTCCCTGAACTCAAGAAAATTTTAGGCGAATTTGATCCGGCAATTTCTTAGGGATATTTCGCTTTGTTAATTAGAGGTAGTAGTTAGCACTGATCAGTTCTTACTGGAATTGCACTTCTAATCTATATGCAGCTTCTCCTAAAATGTTATAGTATATGATGTAATATATACGTACTAGGATTTCATCTGATATGATATTATACTAATAGTATAGGTATACTATATATTTATAGTGAGTATATATTATTATCAAGTGTGTAAACCTATTCGACCATTTTATTGCCACACAATGTCTAGTTAAACAACTATGCCGGATTACATAAAAAAAAGGGCAGAAAGAAAAGAAACATCTCAGGTAGCGAAACGAACTTTCTGTAGCAGGAATTTCGATTTCTCCCAAGGCACATGGTTGTCGGCATGCCGCCTTGTGAGATGTGTCATGTTGTTGCAGCCTCCAGTGCTTCTGGTTAAGTGAGGGTCTTCCAGTGAACCACCGGATCGCATTCGGCTAAAAGGTGTCCGCTCCGTGGATGGCGGCTTCTCTTATATCAAGTGTGTAAACTATGCACCATTTATGCCCACACAATGTTAGAACAACTATGCCATTACATAAAAAAAAGGGAAAAAAAGAAAAGGTTAGAACAACTTCTTGTAGCAGGAATTTATTTCCAAGGCACATTTGGCATGCCCTGTGGATTGCTGTTGTTGCAGCCTCCAGTGCTCTGGTTAGGAGGGCTTCCAGGACCACCGGATGATTCGCTAAAAGTTCCGCGTGATGGCGGGCTTCCTGCTATTGATATTCCTGGAGCATACATTGCTTCAGTGTGGTTAATACCCAGTTTTGACTCTAGGCTATCTTCTGAAATAAAACTACCCAAAATAACCTGCAAGCAGAACAAAACTACAGCAAATTAGAGACAGTAAGGTCGTTTTGAGTGATACCAGCACTTCACTTGCCTCGTGCAATCTCGTCAATATGACAGTTGCTGTTAGATGCAGCACAAGCAAAATAATGAAGACCAGAAGATAACAAACCTGTACAGAAGATGCTGCTGTGAGGAGCCCTGCCACACCTCCACCAAGAACACGACCATCTGGCCCTGCTAGTGAAACACTCAAACCACCAGTTCTGCTGCGCTGGCCACTACTCTCTGAAAGGAGAAATGAGCCAGAAAGTGACAAAATCTCAAATCGTCCCTGCATAAACAAATAAATAAGAGTTGCATGATTTGTAAAGATAAATACAGAGCAGAATCCCCCTCAAACAACTGTCTAAACATAAAAACTTCAAGCTAATAAGGATGAATGATCAAAGCTTAACATATATTCTGATTGAACAGTAGGTTATAAACATGCAAATTTCAGAGAGAAAAAAGGTGCAGTTCATACCGAAGTGCTTTGCCTGAAAAATTTGCACTAGATAAATGGAAAGAGATAAGAAGATAAAGATAAGCAACAGGTGCTACTGTAATCAAATGATATGTCCAGGTGCAATTAGCATTGAGCAACTAACAATTGTGAAATCCAAGTTTTGGAAGTATCAGCCACACAAATTCTGTTGCTTTAGTTCTCTACTAGATCAGCAATAGCCTGAATCAGCGACTCATTTATATGAACCCTCAGTTTATGCACTTACAATTAGAAAAAAAAAAAAGCAATAAAGGAAGTATGTTTTTGGGACATGCTTTTTGGCTACTGAAACTGAATTTACAGCATGAACAGAAATTTGTGACTTCAGGAAGAGAGAGAGAAACTGACCCTTACAATTGGTAATTGCTTTTTCTGCAAGGCGCATAAAGTAGTATGCTGAATAGTTTGTCTTAGGTAACAAAGCAACGATATTTTCTGGATCTCTCGTGCATAAACCATTTAGATATCTGAACATACATAGCATTTCCTTGTTTCCTGTGGAAGCGCGTTGGCATCTGCCTCTGTTGTTGGCTTTTGCCTCCTACATCCTTAAATTCATATTTTTTACTCTTTCACACTCGTCTTCACATTTTTTCTCTTCCACTAGATATTTTTCGCCGGTTTTCTATTAGAGTAGTTAAATTTCTCAAATTTTGAATTTCTTTCTTACTGTTGTTTCTCTTAATTTTACAACTTTATGAGGTGGAGTATTTTACTTTAACAACTTGGTCTTCGCTTCACTAGGAGAGAAAAACTTGGTTCTTCTAATTCTAATAAACTAGATTAGCATATGAACAAATTGTGTGCATTTGGAGTTTAGTAATTCTCTACTGAACTCTTCCACAATGAAAAGAAGAAATACCAGAGGAAGAGAGAGGAATAGTTCTTTAGTGCTGCAACTAGTGCTAAATTTAGTTATCTGTGTAACAATGATAATTCCAACTCCCCTAAATGCAAAAGGATTATCTTTCTCTGCAAACTATATTGAAAGAGAACGTGGAGCATATTTATTCCTCCCATATGAGTTATGACACATGGAAAATGGATACATGCTCGTATCAAATGACAAAGTGATCAAAACTTGAATGCACCTCATATGTTACAGTTCCACCAGATGTTGCAGGTTGACGAAGTGTTACATTAGATATGGCACCATTTGCTGATAAAATGCAGATGCCTGTTGATCCATTTTGCAAGAATGACATTATCTTCGACAACACATCCTGTGAGAGGAGAAAGTTTAAAATCAAATACAATCATTTGAGAAAATAAGAACTCACAAAACTTTCAAATCGCAAGAAAAATATAAGAAAAAATAGTCATTATTTTGGAAGCACACACAAACTGCCATCTTTCCCTTATTACTTCAACTCGTATTAGCAAAGAAACGGAAGTACAATAAGAGGTTGTCTGGGATTCATCTTTGTCTACGTGTCCAATTTGTTCCAAAGAAAAATGTACCAAACAGAAATTTACAAGCTCATAAACTTGTCAACTAATATTGCCACCCATAGAAAATGCAATGCCCTGCCTTGACAGCAGTTTACTATGAATATACAAATGCAGCAGTACTTATGTCTACAATTTTGAGCAACACATTTTGCTCATCAGGCATATTAATTGTGTTTCAATCGTTTGCATCTACATTAACAAATAATCAATCTTAACCAACAAATAAACAGAAAAGGAAGGAAATAACGAATCTTCAACATACACGTGACAAGTGTATTTAACAATTCAAAAACATGAAACACGCAAATGACATTAAGGTTTATTAAATCGTTGATGGTCAACTATATGCTACCTCAACAATTATAAAGGATTGTTATATGAGGAACTAAAAGTTAGGACCACAAACTCTGGATCAAATGACTATATGCTAACCCAGGAGCGCTTCATCAATGATCTGTCGATTCATTTTGTACGGTTACCATACAAATAGTTCCATAATCAAGTTGTAGTGAAGGGAGAAAAATATATTGGTCAAGGAATATTCAATCAGTTAACCATGAGGCATATCACTACATGGAATTTCTATTAGCCACAGAATGCCTCTTGCCAAAAATAAATCACCATCCAAGATTATAATTATTGAATTGAAATAGTATTAGATATATACTGTTGAAAGAAAAGAAACAAAATTCCTTTATTTTGAATAAGAAAGAGACATTTAATAACAAAAAAATGCACCTCTCCAGCCTTTACTGTGATAACATGTGGTGTAAATCCAACTCCTGCTGATCCTGCTGCAAGACAATATTTGTAGAAAAATCATCATTAGAAAACAAATACAGCAGAAATATTCAAATAAATTCCACCTTATGACATTATGTGTAGATGGTCTAATATTTGCGTTTTCTTGTTTTGTTATTAAGTAATTTCACTTATAAATCATATTATAAGACCATTCTAACCCAGAGATTATTGCATATACATAGAATATATGCAATAATCCAGAACAGGACAATGAATCCCTTTTTTCTTCTTTCAGAATAAAATTTCTTTAAAACCAATCAAGAGTGAGCAGTAATACCGCCATCTTATAAAAAAGGGCAAATAATAAAGGGCAAATTTGTCATTTGACTAAGTGCAAATGGGATCCAAATACAATATTTAAATATAACAAAACCTATACAAATCCTCTGCACCATCTCCCAAAGCAAAACAGCACAAGAAAGCATAAGCCAAGCAACTGAATCCATCAAACAACCATGAACAATACCAAATGTTCAGAAAAAAAAAAAAAAAAAAAATGCAATATAATCCAGAACAGGCACATACTGAATCCCTTTTATAAAGGCTTCTTTCAGATATGGGAAAGATTTCCTTTAAAACCAATACAACCCCCCCCCCCCCCTAGGAGTGAGCAGTTAATACGCCCTATCTTATAAAAAGGCAAAAATAATAAAGGGCAAAATTTGTCAGTTTGACTAAGTGCCATGCTCGCTGTCAAATGGGATTCCTATATATATACAATATTTTAGAACTATAAACAAACCTGATACCAGAATCCTCTGCACCCATCTCCAAAGCAAAACAGCACAAGAAAGCAATAAGTGCCAAAGAGGGGGCATGAATCATCAGAACAACCATGAACGAATACCAAATGTTCAGAAAAAAAGAAAGAAAACAAAGAACTAAAAAAAAAGAGAGAACGTTGAACATACCAAGAGAAGAAAGTTGGTTTTGCGGGTAGAACCAGGGCGGTCTTGAAAAAAAAAAAAAAAAAAAAGAACAAAAAAAAAGAGAGAACTTGAACATACCAAGAGAAGAAAGTTGGTTTTTGCGGGTAGAACCAGGGGGTCTGCCTCTTGCTTTCTTTGCAAGGGATGATGTTGTTGGGGAAGGAGGAGATTGAAATCCAGACTGATGAAGAAGAGGAGACTGCTGCTGGTGGTGGGAAAGAGGAGATGTGAGATTAAGGCTAATACTACCATGCGGTGGTGAGTATTTCCTGGGCCGCCCACGTTTCCTCTTAATGGGCTCACCACTATTCATATTGAAGCCATCAACATCAACATCGACATCGACACCAACAGCGCCGCCGCTGCCAACACCCATTTCTAATATTTCATGCTGGTGTGATGGAATGGTTTGGACATGATGGAAGGTATCGTCAGGCATAATGGGCTTGTAAACACCATCTGCCCTAAATGCCAAATTCATGTTCGATGTTGCTGTTAGTGTCGGGCTCTGGTTCATTTCAATTCCCCCTCCATACGATTCTCTGCCTGACATTATTCTTGTCTTTGATTCCTGACATTGTTATCACCATATATGATCACTGTAAAACCCTAATACAATAAAGCCTTTCGTAAACCCTACTTCCATCTTCAAAGCTTCAATTTCCATATTGAATCAAATCATAAATTTCCTTCGAACAGATTAAAAGTTTTGATCTTTATTTTCTGCAATTCTTCCTAACTCAAGAATTTCTTTTTCCGAATAAAAATTTTAAATTTTATTTGTTTCTTTTTTATAAATTGGAAAAGATCCGGAAATTTTGATAATAAAATTAGTGAAATATAAAATTCAAATAGGATTAGGGAAAAAAATTCCACCTTAGAAATTCTTTTTTTAATTTTTCATTATAATATTTTAAAAAATTGAAAAAAAAAATAAAAAGGAATTTCGAAAAAGAAAATGCTTACCAAAAGTAAATTAGAGATGGTGGAGGAAGGCGGATGCAAAGCTTCGAAGCCTCTGGAAAAATAGCGGAGAAATTAGGGATTTTTTCCTAATTTTTTATTTTAATTTTTGATTTTTCTTTATTTTTTTAATATTTATCACTCTTTTTGTGAGCGTCACCACCGAAATTGCTATCGCATAAAAAATAATCATGGCCAGAGAATTCTGACGCGATTCCCTGTCACGCTCCAATAAGAGGAGAGGAAGCTAGGGTGTGAATCTTCAAAGCGCGTGGATTCAATGATTGCAACAATTTTAAGGTTTTTTTAGTGTTTTAGTTTTTCTTAATTTTTCAATTTACCAATGATTTTTTTTTTCATATACCAAAATAAAAGTTTGTTTTTCCAAAAATAAATTTATTCCCTTTGGGATTTGTTTAAACTGATATTATTACATCAACCAAAATCAGTAAAAATGGGTGGCTTTCACTTAAAAAAAAAAAAATCCTAGTAAATATCACTTTTTGAAATTTATTTTTAGAGAATGTCAATTTAACTTTAATATTTAAATTATTGTCATTTATATATCAGGAGCAAGTAAAAATCTCAATTAGTTGCTTATTTATTTTTATTTATATTATATTTAACCTCTATTAACTGTAATAAAATAATAACTATTAAAAGTACTTTTAAATTAAATTAACATTTTTGATAAAATTATTTTATTTATAATTATTTAAGATGATAAACAGCTGTTAGATGTTATTAATATTTTTCTCTAAAAAAATGTCATTATAAAAAATTTAAATTTTCAAGTTAATATTTCAAATTAATCATTTATTTATAATTATTTAAAGATAATACATAGCAATTAAATGTTATTATAAAAAATTTAATTAATATTTCTTACTTATCATTTCTTTTTAATTAACTTCAAAATATCAGATAGGTCGAAACAGATGTATCAGCCTTCATACAACAAAAATCTATTCTTCTTTATACTTGCATAACTGGTTATAATATGCACTATTTTCATATACAAAAAATGCTCCAATCAGCTGTAAGACCAAAAAGCTTAAAATCTGCAAAATTTCTAACACTTTACATCGGTGCACCTGTCCATGAGTGAACTACGTTTGGCATTGTAGACTGAGCACCTCTACTACTCTACATTATATAGTCTTCTTACAAGCCCTAGGAAGTCCCTTCTTCAACCTCTTTAAACCTCGTATAGCATCATACTTCTCTGTTTCTTCAAAATCATCATCACCAAATCAAGAAAATGTATTAGACGTGGGTAGAAAGTGAGACTGAGAAGTAGATGAATCTGACACCTAATGCTTTTTCAGAGTTTTTAATGGTCACATGAATAGGGATGTAAATAAGCCGGGCCGGCTCGTGAGCTGTTCAAGCTTAGCTTAAATCAAGTTCAAGTTCTAGTCTAATGATGTTCAACTTGAAAATTTATCAAACCTTACTAAGCTTATATTACTAAGCTTATAATATATATATATTATATATATATATATTATATATATATATATATATATTATTTATATTAGACTTATTCGATCATTGAATCGAGTTTAAACTTTAAAATATTTCAAATAAAAACTCTGAATTTAAAATTTTCAGACTTGCTGAAAATTCGAGCTCACTCAGCTTATTTACATCTACTCAGTCCACGAGGTTAATACATTCATAATATATATTATTTTAGACTTATTCGATCATTGAACCGAGTTTAAACTTAAAATATTTCAAATAAAACTCGAATTTAAAATTTTCAGACTTGCTGAAATTCGAGCTCACTCAGCTTATTTACATCCCTACTCACGAAGGTTAATACATTCCATAATAACCCGGTGAATTCAATAATCAACTCGTCTTTGAACTGCATTTGACGTTGCGGACAATTGTTTTAATTATCTGATCATTACGTAGTCTACCAACAAAAGTTCTTATAGATTACCTCCAGACGCGATTGTTGCATCATCTTTAACATCTCTTCTATCATATCCGGTTCGTTTTGCAGTAAGTGTAATCACCCCACTTTCAACCTTTTGCTCGGGAGTTTCGCATGATCCCTCAAAAGGTTCCATATAGCAAAACCTGACATTTTAAGCGCACAATTCAGCCTACATGAATATGCATTAACAAATAAAATCTGCATATGCAATAATATAAATTTGCAGTTATAATATGCTTAGGTAGCAAAGAACATTAGATAATTCAGTTGTTTGTTTTGCTCGAATGGAGCTTACGGATTCATACGTTTTACGCATTGTCCTAATGCTTCCAAATACAAGATTACAGGCAAGAAAGGTAAACCCAGGAGGGTAGTTAATGAAGGATGATACTTAGTAAGAAGTTTTAAGGTGTCGAACGGAAGCATGTGTTGCATCTAATTTTAAGAAACATTGTAGGCGGGTTCAGGAAATGAAATACATGAGTACCATTCTTTAGGTAAACGCTTGCTGTCAAATCCAGGACTCAACGTCCTCCACTTTCTACACTTGTCGCATTGGACCCATTCATGGTCAGGCTGGTACAACAAACCACCCTTCTTCTGGAACTGGAAGAGTAAAGAAATATCTCAATAAAAGGAATGTAAGCTGACTGCAAAACCATTAACAAGGGGACCAGAAACATTGAAATAAATTCGAGAAAGATTTTAATAATTGAAGCAGTTGATGGCAAAGAAATAATTCTAGCATATTTTCAGGCTTATTCTAAAAATATATTGCAACTGTGATCACCGCTGAAGTGGAGGAAGCACATAAATTCTCATCAGGGTATAATTTATTATTTCCAAAAAATTCCACTATTTCAAATGAATGCCGGGTTTATTTTCAGTTTTTTTGGGTTCATGTTTCTATTTTCAGTTGTTTTTAAATCTCTTAATGACACTTCACTTTTCCATATTGCAACTGTTCTCTTGCATGAAAGGTCATTTCTCTTTCCCTTTAAACAATAGCACCCACTTTATGTATTTTAGAAACAAGTTCTCACTCCATATTTTCTCACTTAATATTCAAAACTACAATTTTACCATTATCATATCTTAAAATCATTTCAATTATTTACACCTATATTCACTTGAAAATGAAAAATAAACATTAGTCATTAACCTAAGGAAACTTTTTAAATAAACATTCACTGAAATGGAAATCAACCTTACAGTATGAAAATAATATAATCCACAGAATTAGGTAAAAAAGATATTCCTCACCAGCTGCACAGGATCATGATTTTTATCCCAATATTCATCTGCCTTTTTCCCCAGCCACTCCTCTAGTTGAGCATAAGCTTCACAGTCCTGAAAACCTTGCTTGTTGCTATGCACCCACACACGACCATTCCCATTGTCCTACATGAAAAATTGGGGAAGCAATACGGTATCAGTTAACAGTTATCAATGCATAGCAATGTACAGTAGTAAAAGGTTTGTGACTTCAATCAACTTGTTTTTGTTAGAAGATAAAAGACCCATTTTCACAATTGTTAAATATGATTACTATAAAGAAAAACATCCTCTTAACTAATTGTAATTAAAGGTAAATTAAAAATGTCTTTGAAGATAATATTATGAATAGTTTGGCCAATTAAAAATATAGCAATAATAATAATTACTCTAACTACTTTTTCAAGAACTTTTGAACGAAAGGATGCCTTTTCATTTAAAAGAATGATGCTAAGTAGTATTAATACCAAAATAACCATATCTTCTTGCATTCAAAAGAAATGTGATTCAGTATATGAGTTATTCAAATCTTCAAGAACTAATTTATCGACATTCAGGTAGTAAAAATATCTATATCATTTCTTTCTTCCTAATTACAAGGAAAGGCAAAATTCAAACATGAACACTAAGTCTAGAGTTTTGTTCAATTCAAGTTGTATCCATGCAAGCCCAAGTGACAAGAAGCACACCAGTCTTCATCAGATAGAAAAGCAAAAAGAGCACAAACTCAATCTTTCTAGTAAAATGGTATAACCTAATAATCTAATCTAAACAAATGCAGGAAGCTTCACATGTTCGTTGGAGCAAAGCAAGAGTAAAAGCGGCCTTGTAAAGCAAATCTCCTCACAAACATTAACTTTTTTGTAAATAGGTAATGCAAGACCGCATCATCAAGGCATAAAACGGTCTAATAAACAAATGAATATTCATAAACACCTATATACCATTAGATCGGTAACATCTATGACGCCAATCATGCCTCGTCCCACATCTCCATTGTGTATCATGCCACCAACTCTTTTATAAGCCTACAAATGAAGACAACTGATTAGCTGAATTAGAGTTTAGAGATAAGTGTGATCTGCCAGAACAAGCGTAAAGGGGCACAAGCCGTAATTTAAAGACTATGATAAAAAGAATCCCACCTGCCCAAAGGAAAAGAAAATGCGACCTTGATTTTATATATTCTTATTAGGTACACAAAATAAAGAATACAAATAAAACACAACTCGCAACATACAATTTTTGCCATGCATGTGTATCCTCTGAAAACCCACCTTCATGGCAATGGAACATAAGACCTTAAACTAAAATTCTAAATTATTATTAATATTTGCACTATTAAACTCAAATACTAGACACCATTGCTGGACATTAAAAAATGAAATGACAAGAAAGACAGCTTAACAAGAAAAAGAAAAATCAGATTTCAGTAATACTTCCTTTTCTCTCTTTGGACTCTGCACTGAGCTCAATTACCATTTGGTGAAGTAATTAAGGGCCAGTATGGCATACTGACAAGTCCATTTAGCTTGATTGCATTATATGCACCACACAGGGGTTAAAATATCATATTAAACAGAATATTTTAGAAAAAAATCAAGTATACAATATCATGAAATTGTGTCATTGCATCATAAGCATATTTCTTTGGATTTCATAGTGCATTTAAACTCATTAAATAATATCCACAGTTACAGTTCCAATTAGATTAGATTTTCATCCAACCTCAAACTTATGTTGGATCAATAGCAAAAGATAACTAAATTAAATCATGGAATAAACTAGTTATGCTCTGGTATAGGGATCCTTCTTCACCTCAGCCAAACTTTCTTTACCTCACAGCCTAAATCCTATATGATCCATCTCTTTTAGCTTTTCAGTATACATCCTATTGGGCTTGCGCACCTTCTGGATGGTGAAAAGCGCAGTCATATGAATTTAAGTTCACAGAGTCTTGTTTAGAAAGCGAAATAGACAGAAGAATTTACAAGGAGGGAGGCAGGGAGAACCCCTAAAAAGGAAGACAATTAACTCAAATAAAGGACAAAGTGGCCAATGGTTTAAGAGGATATATGGAGCTAAACCCACGAATTCAGTCCATTAATAGCTTAGACTTGATACAATACACTTGGAAGTCTAAAAGATTGAACATTCTAACAAAGTAATAAACATGCACAGAAGATTCTTTGGTAAAGACAGGCAGAAGAAAAAATGCAACAAGCGTGAACTATAGCCAATTTCAAAATGGTTGAAATATGATTAAAGTGGATAAACATCAGGAGAAACTAAGCTACCCACAAGAAGCTGTAACAAACATTGACAGGTTGAATAATATCATGAGGCAGAATCTGACCTCGATTAAGCGGCCATGCCAATACAAAAACATTCCACAATTTCCCTGCTCCCACTCTAACTGACAGCGACCAAGAGTTAAATTAACACCTTTGCCAATTATATTACCAGTTACTTCACAAGTCTTATTCAAAGATTTGCCCAATGGTCGACATTTAACCTGTTGAAGAGTTCAGGCTAAGCATCAAACAACAACGCAAGATTAAGAAGCACCATTTCCTTGTAAGGAGAAGCAAGCAATTACCGGTGAACCTTGAACATATATCTTCATTCGTGGAACTAAAAAGATGACCTCTAGATAACATCTAAGTGAGTAATCTAGGGGCACCTGAAACAAAGGAGATACATGATGAAATCAGATGTGATAATATAAAATAGTTAGACAATGAGGCACATGAAATGCATTAAAATCCACATGTGATAAAGTATTCCAACAGAAAGTGGATAACCGATGAATTCTAAGGCTGGCGAAGATACACAAGTGAATTTTATAACGAAAAGTTCCTAAGATAGTGGAGACAAGAAATAGGTGACACGAGTGAGAAATTTCAGAATGATAACTATAGCATCATTTGCTTAACATTTATAAAATGTTCGTATTACCTGCAAATAATCTACTTTATATGATATTAACCCAATAGACAATTTTTCAAGATTTGGCTAATCCTAAAAGTGCAAGTGTTGACCAATCCTATAGCACTTCAGATTTTTAAAAGGAAGAATCCACCAATGCATGTATATGTATAGAGTTTGTACACGAAAAACTTATAAATATCTAACTGATTTTAATTTATTCAACATCAAAAACCCTTATATTTGAGGTTAAATGAGCCGTTCTAGGTTGTAGTCATCTGGTATTATTTGATAATTTGGTAAATTTCATTTCCCTTTGCAAGTTGCAGACACTTTTTTGCTTATTATAGACCTTAGTTGAGAAAAGAGAATGACCTTTTGACTCATCTGGCCAGGACGAGATCTGACCCTTTTAGAACGGATAAATATATCACCTTGGTGAAAGGAGCTCCCACCAGTCAGTCCAGTAGTCCAATCCAGACAATAACCTGAGCCCCACTCATCCAGGTTCCATATGTATATTTGAGTTCCTGTGTGTCTTTTATCAAACAAACCTGCTTTTTCACCTATCAAATACTTATCAAATGGTGAAAATTCCTTAACAGCTTTCAAGTTGTACTTCGCTAAATCTTGAGACTGGACACTTGTATCCAATTCCATAAACTGTCCTTTTCTGCGGTAGCTTACAATGGGAATCTCTAGATTCTGCAGAATCAATTTAATTAAGATGATAATAAATGTCTAAAGCATCTTAAAAAGAAATAGAAGACGGACAAAATGAGACCATATTTTCAACATACATCTTTTCCTTCATTTAGCGATTGTGAGAGGAAGGCTATAGACCTAGATTCAGCAGTCTGAGTAAGAACAAGAGCATCCCTCCCAAGCCTCATTGCCCCAGTCTGAGAAATTGGCATCCAAATTATCATTATGCACATCTTAAAAGGTAGAACAATGAAATAAATCTCCAGTATAGACAAACAAATCAGAGCATCTTCAAAATTAAATACATACCATACATTACGCCAATTCACAATGTTAAGAGTCATTCTACTAAATATCCAAATAAAGAGAATTGGCAGAGCAATCCAACAAAGCGCGGTAAAAACAAATAGAATACAAGGGCTACCTTAAATCCAACACCGAATCTCCCTATACGATCCACATTATTTGCATCTGGTTGTTTGTGCCCAAAGCATGTCATTCTCACAACCTCCTGATGGGTCATTCCACAGCCATCATCTATAAATGACAACATAGGAATATCTTTGCCAGCCCTTTTTGAATATATGATCTCAATAGAAATATCCAGTCTGTCAACAAACACTAAAAGTAAGAAGCATATTTTCAAAAATAACAGAGTTCAAAAAGGTGCCCTATGTTTTACCAATCAAGACTCAAAGACAAGAAATTTTTTATTACCATGACGATTAATTCATTATCACTTTAGTACAATGTATTGCAAGTACAATTAAAAACTACGTGACAATATGCAAGCCTCCTTATGCATGCAAAAACATAAATGCACAACTCAAAATAGTACCAATTTAACATTTTTTTTTTCTTTCTAAAGTAGTCGTTATGGAGAAAAAAAATTGCTAGTTTCATTCCTAAAACAGTCGATTATCTAAAACAAAATGACTCTAGAATGATAACAGATGAATCCTCTTGGCACTAAAGTGACAAAAAATTTCTCTCCATTAAGTACCAATATACTAAAACACAGGGTGTGTTTATGAACTTCTCCAAAAAGACAGACAAATATAAAATGAAAATATACAGAAATATACAAAAAGGTGAAGGCTAAAAAGAAAAAGAAAATCAATTCAACCTACCTGCTTGCGTTTGCATCCCTAGAATTATCAACAAGCTCAGCTATTGCACCAAAAATCCATGCAGAATGCGTTTGACCAAGAGTTTGCAGGTAACTTGGGTCTGCTCGAGCATAATTTTTCTCCAGTGTTCCACCTTTTTTATCATTGCAAGGTTGATGTCTTTTTGTTAGTTCATGATAACAGTGATCACCAGTCGTCTGCAGAAACTTGGCACAAGGCATGCCATTATCTTCACTAATACCCAGACCTCTTGCCTGCATATTTGCATCTTTCCTGGCAGCAAAATCCTCAACGATGTGAGGAGGTGACATGGTGCTACTATTACCACAAGTCTCAGATCGATCCAAGCTTCGTTGTGTAAATTGACGTGCTTCAGTAGTATCTAGAACTATATACAGTTAGAGACATGATATTAAGTAGTCCTCTTCACTTTCAGAGGAAAAGTAATATTAGTTGCACTTAGATTAATTGAACTACTTATTATGACAAATTGAGAATTACATTCAAACTCCATCCCCACAAACAAAACAAGGAAACATCATAATTAACATTATATGATACCTGATTCACAATTCTTTTGACCAATATATTTGTCGGAAGCTTTCCCATCACGGTATGCAACTCTAACGTGACTAAAATTAGAGCCTTCTTCAGGAGGAAGTATAAAGAACTCACAGAACTCAAATTTTGCAATTGCAACCTACAAAAGATATTATGTAACTACCACCAAATATATACTTTGAAGATCAAAATAATATCTTTAATCCTCTAGGTGAATTTTAAAAATCCAACCTAAAATAGCAGAATAGAAAAAGGAGGTATTTTAAAAGGTCTACTAAATAAATGATACGGGAAATTATGATTTATCACACATCTGCAAAAAATTCACATCTTTTCTCAAATGATCATGGTAAAAGCTATATCTGCTCAAGGCTCAACTCGGTAAAAGCTTGTTCTATAAGCTTACTGAGTCGAGTTCAAGCCAAACTATCGAGCTTATTTAATGAACTAGCTGAGCTTAGCTCATTAGCTCGTGTGCTAGCTTTATTGGGCCAACTCATGAGCTAGCTTTATCGAGCAGAGCCGAGCTCACGAGCTAGCTCAATAAGTCAAAATCAATTAAACTTACATTTAAATGATATTGTTTTGGTTTGATACATTTCAAGCTCAAGCTCGAGCTTGGATCGTTTACGGTTATCGAGCCAAGCTATTCTTAAATGAGCCAAGCTCGAGCTTGAGCTCAAGCTCACCAAAGCTCAGCTCTACTCTGGTCACTTATAGCCTTATATATGATAGTGAATTTTAGCACCATGTTACCAGTTACAAATTAAGAAATAGATAGAGAAGTCATGTTAAGCAATTCAGGGGGTAAAAGAGATGATGGAGCAGAAAAACATACAGAAGAAGAAACTGTTTACCGAGTTTCTTTGCTGAATATAGGATAGAAATTTACACCACTCTTTCTTGTCACGAGGACACTCGGCAGCAGGGCGTAAAAAGCAATGAGGTAAATCATGATGGATATTTAACTCAGACCTTCGAACAATTTCATGTAAATTCCATTTTCGAGGCCTAAAAGCAGAAGCAAGTCATACAAGAAGCAAAGAAATATTTAAAACAAGAAAACTGAATTTGATGAATATAAAAAACAGGTCAATGCATCATTTGCAAGACTGGCATTTATGATAAAATTCCAAGAGAAAAATAAAATATGGATAGATAGATATAGAACGACTAAAGAAATAGGTAGAAATCAAACATGTGAAGGACTGAATTGCTGGTTGGAATATCCTACATTTCTCATGCTATAAAAGGAATATTCATATACAAAGCATCAAAGAAAGAAATAAAATCAAGATATTTTCAGCTGGTAATGTTCATTTGGTAATGTTGGGACGACCAGTAGCAAAATAGTGTTACTTGAACTCTATTCTTATCGCATTGTTACTAGGGTTAGCTTATTAGTTTAATGACAATTTTGACCCTCCTCTGCAATAAATTTTTACCTAGCCAAAAGGGAAATTCAGGAAAAAAACTCAATATATAGCAGCACAACCTACTATGCATGTAATTAGTGAAACTCAATTTTTCACACTAATAGTATGCCAATGAGAGCAGCTCCAGAATAAGTCTCAAAACATTACTACAAAATCGAGAGACAAGAAAATTAGAGAATAAGTGCCTACACTTTTAGAGGAGGGTTTAAGCATTGTGTCCGACTTATAAGTTTTCCATCCTTCGTCAGCAAAATAAAGTGCTTGTAATCTTCTGCAAAAATCAAAAGTTGCAATGATGATAAGATATATAGAAGAAACTTCAGAATGCACAAAAATGTGAAAGCATGCATTTTTATTATATATCCAATTTTGCCTTCTTTATTTTGTTATACACAAATACCTAAATACTAATATTTTAAGCTTCAATTTGTCAATAAACCAAGAACAATATCCTGTGTATTGATTTGTTCAGTATACATCATACTAAGCATTTAATGTAGCTAGCACGAATGAAAGGATATAAATTGACCTTCATTCTGATTTTTCTGTGATTTCACAAGCGGATCTCCCATTTACAGACTTGCAAAATTGAACGCAAATATCAGGCATAAATTTGCTAAACCTGAACCAAAAAAAAAAAAAAAAAAAAAGACAAGAAATTAGAGAATTAAGTTGCCACTTGTTCATCGAATAGAAATGTAGCGAGATTTTTAAAGCATTGTGTCCGACTTACGTAAGTTTTCCATCCTTCGTCAGCAAATAAAGTGCTTGTTAATCTTCTGCAAAATCAAAGTTGCCAATGATGATAAGATATTATAATGAGAAACTCAGAATTGCACAAGAAAATGTGAAAGCATGCCATTTTTATTAATATATCCAATTTTGCCTTCTTATTTTGTTATACACAAATACCTAAATAACTAATATTTTTAAGCTTCAATTTGTCAATAAACCAAAGAACAATATCCTGTGTATTGATTTGTTCAAGTCATCATACTAAGCATTTATGTAGGCTAGCACGAATGAAAGGATATAAATTGATCTCTTACATTCTGATTGTTTTTCTTGTGATTTGCACAAGCAGGATTCCGCATTTTACAGACTTGCAAAATTGAACGCCAAAATAGTACAGGCATAATTTTGCTTAAACATGCGCGGCTGGAAAGACCAAGGAAGAGGAAAAGAGGGAGATATATTATATATCGGACGCAACGAGTCGCGAGGAGGACATAAAGCCGAAAAATCGAGACCTGGCTGGACTTTGACTCCTATCGGATCACCATGCTAGACAACGATTGTCGTACTTTCTTTCCCTGCCAGTTTGGTATCAACGAGAGCTCGACGACATTAGAAAACAGAGTAAGTCTGTGTATAATGTAGTGTGTGTGATTCACGAGCGCGGTCAGTGGGAACGAGACATAATACGCGCAGAAACTTATCCGTAGAGGATCGGTAGTGAGATTATTTTAGTTTTAGTCTACTGAGACTGAAAGACATCGTATATACGAGATACACGCACTGCGACAATACTGTATAAAAAAAAAAAAAAAAAAAAGACGACATTAGTATGACTAACAAAAATGAGACTGTTGACTACTCCATTGGATCACATGCAGACAAGTCTACCCTGCATTTAATCAACGAGAAACAGTTTTTAGTTTTAACGCCTAGTTACAATGTGCTCATGAAAATCAGATGATGAAGTATTTTTACTCCCATTTCGTTTAAAACAAGATATCAAAACCATTCTTGACTCATATAGAACAATAAAGCCAACCTTAATTAGGCAGTCTACAAAAGAAAAGGTAACCACATATAGAGACAGAGAAACAGAGCAAAAACAACTTTAAAAAAAAGGACAATTTTGATTAAACATATACGTATAAGCAAATGCCCCGAGAGCCAGAAATGCGGGCAAAAATAAACCAGGAATCGTGATTTGAAAGTGACAAAGCCAAGAGAGAGTCTAATAAAATGCAATATGATACCTTGCAGGATGCCCTTAATCAGGCCAACAATCCAACAACTTCCAAGCAAATTAGCACCTCTCTGAACAAGAGTACAAGAGTAGGAACACGCAACCCGTCGAGCAAAACACAATTTCAGAATTTTAACACGCTGAAAAGCATAAACCACGCCAAATTCGAAATAGTTATTGCGGACAAGTTCAGCGACACAGTACGGAAAGTAAAGCTTAACCTAAAAGGAGATTGATTTTCTGATATGCTAATGGATATTGGAAAAAGAAGACGGTAGAATCGGTAGAGAGCGTTACCACGGTGGACAGAGTGGCGGTGTAGGTTGTACCGTCTTGTCGTGTCTTTTCGAGTCGTGTAATGTACAGTTACCTTGCAGAGTACAATGAAGGAAATAAGTGAGGAAGAGGAATTTTTTAAACGAGAAAAAAAAAATACTGTGGAGGGGAAACTCTGTAATCTGTATCGACCCGCGGGGTCCAGTCTTTTCAAATTTCAAGACCTACCGCTCATGTATTATGATATGTTAAAAAATTATCATCCGATCGCATTAATATCAACATTTATTCCTTTTATAAGAATTAAAAAAAAAAGATGAAATTTATTATTTTTCTAAAAATACATTAGATGATGTTGAAATTATACTTTTTAAATATAAATATAAAAATAAATTAGACCTAATAAATATAAATAAAAATTTTTAAAAAATAATTAATATAATTTCAAAATCCTAAATAAACTTTTAAAGTCAAATAAGATAAAATGCATATTTGTAGATATTAAAATAGAGTAAAAATTTTGGGATTTTTTTACATTTTTCCACTCTCTATCCTACACTCAAGGCGAGTTCAAATGATAATAAGTTGAAAATCTTTAAAAAAAAAAAACTATGGAAGTTTTTTATTTTTCCTTTTTTTTAATAACAGTTTTTTAAATAGCTTCTAGTCAAAATGTTAAATGCTTATTTTTATAGTATTCGATAATATAGCGTTTGAATTAACTTTGTTAGGGTAAAGTAGCGTTTTATAAAAAGTAAATTCATATAACGTTGAGCTTTTAGCGTTTCATGAAAAGCTATTAAAACAGCTAACAGTTAAAACGCTACTAAAATAGCTAACAATTACCAAAACTGCTAATTGATTTACCACAGAAAGATTGGCTTTAAAAAAAAAAAAAAAAGTTAAACCATAAACATAATGAATTATTTATGAGGCCAGTAACCATTAAAAAAAATGAAGAGTTTTATCATTAATGTAATAAATTTATTATTTGACTTATCAATTATTATAAAAAAAATTAAAGAGCTTTTTCATTAATGTAATATACTTATTAAAAAGTTGTTATGGAGATTTAATTGTTGGTAAAAGAAAATGAAGAGTTTTTATAATTTTAGAATGAGAATTTCATAAAATTAAGAGATAATTAACTTATTAGTTATTGGAAAAAAAGTCAAAGAGTTTTATTATTAATATTATCTGGATTATTAATGCCAACAAAAATTGAAGAGTTTTTCTATTAATGCAAATATTATATAGATAATTAACTTATTAGTTCTATTGGAAAAACAGTCAAAGAGTTTTTATTTATTAATATTATCTGGATTATTAACTGCCAACAAAAAGATTGAAGAGTTTTTCTATTATGCAAATATTATATATATATATATATATATATTATTATATATATATATATATATATATATATATATATATATATATATATATATCTATGTTTATATACTATGTTATAAATTATTGAAAAAAGAAAATGAGAATTTTATAATCTAGTTTCTTCGAATTAGATATCTAATAAAAAATAATGAAAATTTTAAGAAATAGCATAAATTCACATAAACGACTAAATTTCTTAATATTGTATCACATCATAATGTATGATTCAGCTTTTAAATGTTTATATAGATAGATAGGTAGATAGATAAATATAGATTACTAGTTATATGCCCTGCATATTGCTCGAATTATGCATTATTTATTCTATGCAGTTTTCTTATATTATATTTAAAATTTTAAACAATATTGTATAAATTTGATATTTGCATTTTTATTATTACATTTCAAAATCTTGAGACATAGTATATTTTAATTACTTTTATGTATTAATTCAGTTTAATAATTAATGATCCAAACAATAAGTTTATTGCTTTAATGAAAAACTCTTTAATTTTTTCGAAGAAATTAATAACCTCTAATTTTTCATTGCTTTTTTTCTATTTTTGTTTACTTTATGACTTTGAGATAGTATAAGGAAAATGACTTTTCTATTTTTGAACCTTTGAAGTACTTTCTCAATATACTTCTCTTGTGACAACCATAATTTCTTAGTTCTTCGATTTCTCGTAATCTTCATACCAAGAATTTGCTTTGATGGTCCCAAGTCTTTCATAGCAAAAGACTTACTTAGCTGTTTCTTCAAGCTATTAATTCTGACAGAATTCTGACCAACAATCAACATATCATCTACATCCAAACAAATCAACATATCATCTACATAAAGTAATTAAATGTGTCATCTCTAAGTAAAGTTAAAAATGTAGTCATCATCAGAGAATTTTTTACGAAGACACAAGTGATCTGAAGTAGTCTTTGTTGTAGCCTTGCTCCCGCCATAACAAGACTCAAAACTTTCTTGTTACTCACTGTCCTCAGTGCTTGCTTCAAGCCGTACACGGCTCTTCCTTCAGTTTTGGCCACAGGCTCTTTTTCAGTTTGCAAACACAATTTTCTTTTTCTATGAAACCCTCTAGTTGCTTCATGTATATTTCTTCCTCCAAATCTCCATGTAGGAAGGTAGTCTTTCCATCCATTTGCGCGATTTTCAGATCAAAACTGGCAGCCGTTCCGAGCATTGTTCAAATGGATGTCATTTTCACAACTGGTGAAAAAGATCAAAATCAATACCCCTTTCTTTGATTGAATCTTTTCACAACCAGTCTAGCTTTGAATCGTGGTTGGGAGCTGTGTTCTTCCTGCTTGATCCTGAACACCCACTTGTTCTTTGCCTTTAGGCAACTTCACCAGCTCAAATGTTTCATCCTCATGCAAGGACTTCATTTCATCTTGCATGGCTTCAATCCAGTTCCTATTGTGTTCATTTCCATAGCTTCTTCAAAGCTTTCAGGTTCTCCCCCGTCAGTTTTTTTCCGCAAGCTTCTTCAAAAGCTTTCAGGTTCTCCCCCGTCAGTCGTCAAGTACATATCATTGACTGGTATATTTAGTAGATAGCTTGTCAAGACTCTACCAGATCTTCTTAATGTTTGAGAACCTTCCGGTGCTGGTGGTTTGTTGAACATGAACACCATAATCTTCATCTGGTTCATTCTGATTAGGAACTTCTGGATTTTCTAACTCTGGCACTTGTTCTTGTGGAATATTTTCTTCATTTCCAATTTGTCTGCGTTCTATTGGAGGGGCTCTCTGTATGTCCGATTGGAGGGACTCTCTGTATGTCTGTTGAGTCTTCATCAGATCTATTGGCACTCTGCTTTAATATCTTCAATAGTCTGATCTTCAACAAATACAGGATCACGATTTCTTATAATCGTCTTCTGGATTGAGTCATAAAACCTATAGCCACATTGGTCTTGGTCATAGCCAATGAATACACACTGTTGAGTCTTGACATCAAGCTTAGACCGTGCATCCTTCGGGACATGTACGAAGGCTTTGCAACCAAACACTCGCAAATGATCATAGGAAACATCCTTTCCTAACCATACTCTCTCTGTAGTATCATACTGTAGAGGGAAACAGAGTGTATGATGAACTGCTGTGAGTAACGCTTCACCCCAAATTGCCAATGCACAGAACTGCTGTGAAACCGTAACGACTTCAACCAAATCCATTTTAGAGATAACTTGCAAATGTCGATGTAGTTTACCAACACCATTCCTACAACCGACAAAAGCCCAATGCAAAAGTTTCCTGTTCATCCTCTCAGCCAACTGTTCAGTGCGGCGTCTCTTGGGAAGGCTTGTCAATTTGATGTCGAATGGCATGGCTTTTGCTACAGAAGACGCAATCCAAAGTGGGCCTCCAGTTTATTAATACCCTCCCGACATATGAATGGCTCGGTCTGCTGAGTCACTTCACGATTCTTACTTACTTGTCTCGGTCAACTAGGCTTTTAGAAGACTTCAATGTGGTAATACCCAGGTCTTACTAGAGATGGTCCATCGATAAATGAGCCTCAACAAATATCGATTTTCCCAACCATATGACTTGTCAATGGTCCACAGCGAGAGAGTACTGAATGAAATCGAGGAGTGTTAGATACATCGCTTTGCGTTCTAGACAGTAGGAAGGGGTAAGACTTAAAAGCTACTCTGTTTAGCTTTCGCGCCATACAATCAGGACACTTGTCTAGGTGAAACTTCAAATCCATCCAGGTAGTACGTTCTTTTTCCAGAGTTTCTTACTTTTATGTGGCAATAGTCGTTTATAACCACAATTCAAATTGTACTTCAATTCTCCCGCTACACTCAAAGTGTCCTTGGAGAAGTTTTGCATGCATCACGTACAAACCTATTTGGTCTTTAAGCTACCACAAATGAAACCTTTTGTGAGCTTCCACTGAGCTTCCACTGACCATTTCTGAAGGTGCTACAGAAACCTTCATCATCAAATCTACAATCGACACATGCTCGAAAGCCCATTCCTCATTAGTCTTGTCTTCCGGTTTAGTTGAACTAAACACGGGCAAATGCATTTTAATTACCATAAGGAGATCTCTCATTTCTCCATATATGGTAATTCCCGCCATTTAGATTGATCGCTTGTCTATTTTGACTTGCGCAGAAAATCATCACCAACATAAACCGTATACGTGAACAATATTATAGTGAATAGTGAACATGAATAGTAATAGCATACGCGAATAGTGCTGGCTTAACAGTGACGGGCTTAGAAACAGTAACGTCAATAATAATTATTCACCATCAACCACGAGTTACTATTTTACTATTCATCACTAAGTCAATTCTGCAACGTCTTTCTGAACGGACAGCACCAATGAACTCGTCAACCACGAGTTACTATTTTACTATTCATCACTAAGTCAATTCTGCAACGTCTTTCTGAACGGACAGCACCAATGAACTCGTCGTAATTTTCTCTTCATCGTGGTATATTTATTTTCAAAATATATCCACGGATCCAGTACCGCTATCTAACCAGCTAGACCTGCCAAAACCTTCGGCTCTGATACCACTTGTTAGGCATCAGCTCTGATACTACTTGTTAGGGTCCCGGCAATAAAATTACGAGAATAATAACACAGTGGAAAAATAGAAATATGACACACAAATATTTACGTGGTTCACCTTTAACTATTTAGGGCTACGTCCATGGGACGAATACCAAATATTTCTTCTACTATTAAAAATAGTAGGTGTACAACGCGAGTAATACAAAAATAGTGAC